TCACGGGGAAGAGCATGGGCGATTGGCAACTTCGGTCGAGACGATGGCATGAAGACCTTTCGGGAGGATTCTGCACAGCCTCGACGGGAGAGCGACTTGATCCAGCAAAGGAAGACAATGAAACATGGACTCGGGTTTTACGCTTGGGCACTCCTCTCAGCGCTAGATCGGTATCTAACGCCACGGGCTGGTCTGTGGAAAGATGGTGCCCGCGAGGTCTGGAAACGATCTACCGGCCAACAGTCGTCTTGTCCTTCGAAGGATCCCTGTCTGAGGCCTAGGTGGGGTCTGTTAGCTCAGCAATCCCTCGAAAGGTTTTCCTGCATATGTAAGCATGAAATTACTTCGCAATGGGTCCAGCGAGCTGCCCCTTTGTGTGGAGACTGGTATCCAGCAGATGGCGCATGCGAGTTAATGCGAGTTGACAAGGAAAATGCATCCAGTTCGCGCCCGAGGCGGAAGAGCTGCCCCCGCCATCCTCCCAGACTTACTCCCTTGCCCAGCCGAGCGGTGTATTGATGCTATCTTTGATGCTCAGTACACGTCGCCCATCACAGGTCGGGAACCACCTATTTTGGGTCGAGGAGTAGTAACGAACTCGAAGGTTCCGAGGCAGGTGTTTCACCAGGCTTGGAAATGTGTAAAATGGCGACGACAGCAAAAGTCCGCAGGCTCACCTCCACTCGTGGAGCGCGTCCGTGCGACGCGAATACGTCGAAGGAGGATTATCAGAATATTGTGAGGGCAGGTTTATCGGCGATCCATCGGTTCTGATGATGAGTGAGTGCGTGTTTCTCCTGCGGACTGGATTGAAGGATCTAAGTTGCGCAGTTTGGCGAAGCGATGACCATGCAGTCTCGAGTAACCATGCCGAAGTCTGGTGGACCTGCACCTGCCTGATTGGTCAAAGGGGAGAACCAGAAGCCTGGTAGGGCCCAGAATGTGGATGCTGTTGGGGAGAGCTTCGTGATGTACGAGTACATACGAGTACTTGACAGCAAAAAGGATGACCAGGCTCATTGTGGGTGACGTTAGTGGGAGCCCAGTCAGGGTCTCATGCAAGAAGACTTGTCAGAGATGAAACCCAGATCGACGACATTTGTTTCTCCACCGTGACAGTATTGCGCACAACTCATTTGTTGTAGGTTCCAAGCACCGTGTTTGGGCCCGGTGATGATGACCGCAGGGGGTAAATAAGACCTTTGAGGAAAGTGAGCATTTGAATCATGCAAGGCATGCCCTCGCTGAGATGTTGTCGGCCGCGATTGGTCCGAACGGTCCAATGTGACCATGGCGTTTTTCCACCGCGGCCGCAGCTCAATGCCGGATCCGTTCCAGTCGACCACTAATAGACCAAAAACCTACTAATCGCAGCGCCAGAAAGTATGTCCATCTGGGTGCGGTCTGCCGGACATGTTGAAGAGGACGAGAGGCCGTCGAATGAGGAACGAGGGTATGAAGGCGGCATTGGTCCTGCAAGCGAGAGCTGCCCCGGGGAGAAAGCTGTGGACGACCTGGTCTTAACCCGTCTTCTGGAATGGGACTTTTGTCACGCTTTTCTGTGGATGGACGGGGTGGACAGTGTGGACGGTGCGAATAGAGGGGAAGGCGGCCGACGAGCAATACGAGTTGGTGGCGAAGGTGGCTCATTGGGGTAGTGTCATCACGTGGGGGGTGGGATGCCCACGATGCTCAACTCCGCCCGTGTCACAAGGCTGGCGGGTTGTAGCACTTCTCTCCCCGGTAAGCATTGTACATGTAATGGTGCCGTTACTGCGTATTGCGAGCCTAGATGTGGGTAACCATCGTATGATGAATCAGGTTACATTGAACCACTTCCCGATTCTGGCAAGCCTTTTCACATCGAGGCTTGTTTTTTGTTCTTGGTCCGGAGGAGAATTGGCGCGATGCCGAGGGGGTTCTCCTGCGGGTGTCGTCTGTGGTAGAGAGGGGAATTGTAGGTGTGTCAATGACAGCGGGTGGGCGCGTGCGTGTGGAGCGCGTGTTTGTGGGTAGTTTGTGGGTAGTTTGTGGTTCTTTTTCTTTTTCAGCCCGCTGCGGGTTAGGGGGAGGGGCACATTGCTTGAGGAGGACGACAAGGAAGAGGAGGGGTGGGAACTTCTAGAAAAAGCCGAAGAGATGGGACAGGGGTATGGCAGGGGAATCACTCGTACTCGTAGAGACGATTTGAGTAAATTGCGGTAAGGACAAGTACGGTACACCCTAGGGACGGTCAAAAGAGGTGGGGTTTAAGTGTGTGTCTCGAGTGAAGAAGAAGAGGACGAGGAGAAGCTTCCAAGGCCTGAGGCGCAGGTGGAGCCACACTTGCCTCTTTGGGCAAAAGGTACAACACCTTGCAGCCAATCACAGCCAAAGCCTTGTTCCCTGAACCAGCATATCATTAATCAGCGTCTGCGCCAGCGCCAACGAGCACCACCACGGTATCACCAGTCTGTCTTCTGCTTGGATCCAGTTCGCATTTGCCCAGACTGTCACTTACCCTTTTGCTGTTTGACGACAACACTGGTTGAGGGTCTGGACCCTACATTTCCATGGCCCGATCAGGTATACCAAGGGGGATCGGCCCCGTCACTTAAGACAGAGTCAGTCAGCAGAAACAACCGATCAACTCTACTCTCTGGTCTTCGTCTGGGCGTGTACATCGACGTCATATCTGTTCCCCAGGCGCCAGAGTCCAAGAATGAGAGAGTACTGTACCCTATCCGGCTCTTCATAGATCGGGATCTGACCAGTAGTATTTGGTTAGATAATCGTTCCGCTGTGAGGTGAGGTGAGAAGGAACCCAGGGCGAAGCCCAGTCGATCTTGGGTGAAGATGGCCTCGCCTATTATTCCAAGGTCATGCAACCCATCCCACTGGTGCCCGTTTTGGCGTGCAAGAAAGTGACCAGAAAAGACCCCTCCGCCCCGCCCGCTTCGCCGTCCAAAACACCAAGCCCCGGGTCACCCTTTCTCTCGTCATCCCAGGAACCTAGCCGAAGCTTCTTCGACCGGGAGATGCTGTTCGGATGGTGCTAGACGGGTGCATCATGCTAAGACCTTTTCCTTCCTGAATGGTGACTCGAAAGCAGGTACCGTCAGCGCTATGCGGACGCGGGTTGAAGCGTGGCAGGTTGCCAACTTTGGACACCCTCCCCTGGATCGATGCGGGCCACCAACCCTGAGCGATCGTTGATTGTTTCGGTGGTGAATGACTCTGCTGAGCCTGACAGATCAGAATCTGTATCCAGAAGTAGATGTCGTTTCACCCAAGTGAGCCTTGAGTCTGATATGCCCGAACCAGTGAGGTTGCTGGGTACTCGACCCGTCGTCCAACGGCTGCATTGCCCACCTTCCCACGCCCATCCCGGCCGTGTTGGGTTTCGCTTCGCCACATGCCCGTCCCCTGTCGGACTTTCGTGTATTCATCCCCATCGTGTGTTTTGTCTTGTGTATCCCCTTCTGTAGTGACCACGGCGCATATTGTGCGCGCACACATCGGGGTGAGCCACGGGCAAAAGAAAAAAAGACAAAGACGGCCTAGACTTTACCGACGGAGAAGACCTAGGTCCGATCAGTTCCCCTCAAGAACCCATTTGTCAGATGTGTGCAGGAAAAAAGAGTTGCAACTATCACGCGAAACCTGTTGGCTCCACGGTTCTCGCGAACACGGTCCTGGGACCCTGAAGCAACGAATTACACCAACGCGTCGGAAACCCTCTAAGGATCATCTACTCAAAAAAGGCACAAGATGACTTGACCCTTGGGTCGTAATAATCTCCCAAAGTGATGTCATGGATTGGACCTCTTTTCATTCATCTTCTCCAGGGATGATGAGTTGCTCGCTCTATCATTCCAAGACGATGAACCACCTTGCCACCCACCCACCGGATATAGTCTGACGGGTCTGGTATTGGCAAATCGTCCAAGGGTAAAGTCGGAATAGTTCCCAAAGCATACTCGGCGTCGAGAAGGGAATTGTCGCTTGGGTTTCGTATCCATAAGAGGGACCCGGGGGCGCATGGCGGGTGGTTGCGCATGCCGGAATAGGAAGATAACAATCTCCTCCCTGGTCCATGTACATAACCCATGGGACCGGGTTTCATCTTCCCTCGGCCAAACCCGGCTGTTAGTATACCCATTTTCACATCATGCCAGCAGCCTTTTGATCTTCTTTTTTGTATTTGTCTTTTCTTTCCAAGACGTCTAGGCGACAATAATGATATTGCCACTGCCCGCGGAGCCGCACCGGTCCTTGGCCCCCGACCACTTGCCGCATCTCGTTATTCACCCCTCCCCCTTCCCAGCAGCTGTGCGGTTGATAATCATGGCCAGGGGCAAAGCGGAACATTTACATCTGGACCCGGTAGGGAGCCATGCCCTTTACCCCTGCGGTCTGGAATACTTTCCCGCAACGTACACCGAGGACATGGATCCATTGCTCCAGCAAAAATAACGTAATAATATTAAGAAATCTCGTACAGAGCATCGTACACTTTCATCCAGATGATGGTACACTCTTGAGATCCATGAGGTCTCTACCCGAAGACTCCCTAGTCTAATATCGCCCCGAAAAATGCTCCTGGCCGTCAAAAATTCCAAACACATTGCTCAAATCTCAGTGGCGATGCATCTCAATCAAGGGGAAGAGCCCCAGAAGAAGGTATTTCAACTGTTCCGTGTGTCCAAGGTTTGCGAGTGGTGTTCAACGGCCGAAAAACCAGTCTCCGCTATGCCGCACTCCGACGTCTACCCAAAATGTTCCGATCGAAAGGCACTCTCGTAAGCCCTGCTGCGAGTTCGTACCGTCGTCCCAACGAATCCGGAATTGAAAAAAAAAAGGAGGGGGGGCTAGAGAAGAGGAAAAGAAAACCCCTAGATCCAAGACCATCTCCTTGCATACCATAGGCACTTGGAGGGGTTAGGCAAGAATCGAAGGTTCATACCCCTGCTTTTTCTTTTTACCTCTCGGCCCATTCCGATGGCCTACTCACTCCATATTCAGTTCCCGGTCGTGCTTGGAGGCTTGTCCCAGTGTTTGAGCATTTGCCGCAGGGCTCGAGTCCATTCCGCCACGCAGGCATTGACTAGGCGCTCAAACTCTTCTTTTGTCGGCCTGCGACCTCCCCATGTGCTTGCCTTGGAGGCTAAGGCGCGGGCGTGTTTTGCAATGAGGTTTCTGAGTGAAAAAAGAAAATCAGCCTGTGCCACGTTGTCTTGGAATTGAGAAGGGCTTAGACTTACTCCTTTTCCATCTTCACTAGGACTAACCAGCAGTAGTTCCAGCTCCGAGTACTGCTCGGGTCCCGCACTACCATCGCTTTGGCTTCATCAAGACACTCGGAGCTGAAAGGATAGGTCCTGGTCAAGCCGCGAAGCTCATTGAGCAGATTGTTCGAGTTGACATAATGCGCCCACGCCGTGGTCATTGGCTCGGTCACCTCGGCCGAGTCCAGAAATGCAAAGATCTTCTCGATCCGGCGTAGCTCAGTGATGGTGTTGACTCGATGGGTTCGAAGAGACTGGATCAGTTGATCCTTGTTGTTCTGTAGTTTCGGTCAGCTTTCAGATCCTGGCAAGCTTGGAGTGCGCGAAAAAAAGAACCAGATATTTGAGCAAAATACACTGGAACAAGAGCGGAGAAGACAGGAGAAGAGAAAGGAGAGAGATAAGGGCCAAAAGGAAAGCGTTCAGGAAATTCAGCAAACAACAAACTCGCAAACATAGGAAATATTACAAAAATAAAGCCTGGACTGACTTGGCTCATTGATCGAGGATCAGCTGGTGTGCCAGGAGAAACAAGCTGATACTGCTGAGGTCGAGTGGTCGAGACTGTGGTCGGTCCCAGCGCTGCAGAGCGAGACATGGCGTCTTCGAACGGGGGAGAAGGAGATTGGTATGAGGTTGGTCGAGACGGTGAGGGCCCTGTGTAGGGATCGAGCGTCGTGGGCTGATGCGAGGGACTCTGGGAACTCCGTCCAGCAGGATGGGATGGCAAAGCAATGCGTCTTGAAGTAGAAGACTCTCCTCCCTGACGAGCTGGTGGCCTCCTCGACGTATTTGTACCTGTACTCCGGTCGCTCCTCGAGGCTTCTCCGGAGTGATCGTCCATAGACAGCAAGCTGCAATACACAATCTTCTGACCCCAGTAGAAGAGTTTTGCTGGGCTCTTGAGTAATCGTTGATGATATAACCCAGGAAGGGTGGGAACACAACTCGTTCAGGCAGGGAAAGGAGGGGTGTGCAAGCTAGGTGTGGTGATATGTACGGGGTGTACGTGAGTGAGTGAGTGTGCGTATGAGTATGTGAGGGTGCGTGAGGGTGTGTGTGTGGACGCAAACTTAGTCAGAACGCAGCATTGGAAGATGATGAGGAGAGACTGTAGAAGGAAGCGGTGCGCAATGTAACAGCTAGATTCAAACGAATGGAATAGACCAAGACAGGGAGAGAGAGAGGCTGACACATGAGTGCCCGCAGAGGTATTATGACTTTCTGGCAGAAGCGTGATGTGCCGAGCAGAATGTGTTAGCAGGTCCGGTAATCTTCTCCATCAACAACACTCAGGTGAACGAGTATAGGAAGGATTACCACCTTGGGGGTCACTTTGCGGCTGTATTGTCTTTTTGCTCTCCGCCACCCTCCCAAGGCACAGTAGAGTCATCGTCGGAACGAGAGCTACCATAGCTCCCCAAAGTGCTGTGATGGGGACACAACAAGACCATCTTCCATTACCCTCAGCCTCAGCCCATTCAAGTGTCCGGTGGGGGTGGATGGGTATGGAGACATTTGGCGTCATGTAACAAAGGGGTTCAGAGGTCATTGGCCTTCTGCCCACGTGCCGGCCGCCGAGATCTGACGAAGGGCCGTTTCGAGGAGGAATGGAGCGAGCGAGGGAGGGACGAAAGGGAGGTGGGAGGCAAGACAAGGGACAGGCATTATTGACGAACAAGGTTGGGATGGTCGCCAGGGGAGGGGAGTGGACCGATGGGGCCGGTATGGAACTAGAGGGAGAATAGGGTCGACACTTGTTGGATGATGATGACGATGATGAATAGGAAATGAGAGTAGTAGGAGAAAAAAAAGAGACGGGGGGGCTATTCGAGTTGAGCTCCAAAGAGTTAGAGAAGATCAGGAAGAGGAGGGAAGAGAGCGGACGTCACTAAGCGCGGGACGGCGGAAGAGGGGGCACTACGAAGACCAACGGCATGTAATACGAGGAAGGCAAGGACAAAGACTCTTTCTGTCTCTATCTCGATCTTGGGTCCAAAAAGGAAAAGAAAAAAAAAGCAGAGAAAGGAAAAGCATGACCGACTACTGTTCCTGATGGTGTCGATCCAAAAGTCCAATTCCGCCGGGTGCCATGGTAAATTACGTGGTAGCGCAGGTAGCTCCAAGAAAAGGCTTACTAAGGGCCAGCAGCTACATGGATAGGATGAGTCTCGCTATTGGGTGTCTAGATAGAGATGTAGGTGGCGAGTAGCCCCTAAGTACCTAAGTACCCAAGCACCTATAAGGTACCAAGGAAAGTACCCAAGTACCTAAGCATCTAAGCATCAAAGCGCCTAAGCACCCGTGACACCTACCTAGGTAAGCACCCTTGGCACTCCAAAGCACCTTCAGGTAAGAGTGCTACCTTCAGTAACAAAACACACCGACCTTGCCGAGCCTAGCCCGAGTTGGTGCTTGGGGTGCCCGGGGGGTCCCTTTCACCAGCCTCAGCCTCTCCATCCTTGGGTTGTTGCGGCTGTGCTGCTAAGCACCAGTGGATCCTGAGGAAACCCTACTCTGTCTTCTCTTGTCCTTGTACGAGATCTTCTGTCCTTTGTTTGTCTCTGTCCTCGCTGTCCGTCGCCCGATTGGGCACCTGAAACAGGCCGGTTCTTCCCTTTCCGCTCCCTTACAGCCCTATATTTCGCCCCTCTCTTCTACTTGTAGTAGTCCTTAGCCACTGATCAAGACGTTGGCAATCACATCAGCCACCCAATCCTCCACCTTTTTGGGAGCTCGTAAACAAGTCGATCAGATTGCCGAACTTGACATCGCCAATGGAAAACCAGGGTGTTAATCGAGGCTGGTCCGGCCCGCAGGGGATCTGACTTCACGTCAACGGATCGTGGATGAAACCTCCGATGATCGCGTCGGGTGCTGAGGCATCCGCGAGGCTTTGGGAGATGGGGATGCACTAGGGTTTGGGGACTTTTCATCTTGCCCGTGAACATCGTTAGTTCGGTCCTCGGTCAACTGCCCGGATGGCAACTTGCTCCGGGCTATGTCAATGGCACCAACCTGGAGCCGTCAGGTGTGCACCCTAGCACCAAGCTGCTAGGACTGTGGCTTTCTCATCTCGGGCCTCCAGGTCGTTGGCGTTGGTCCTGGGCACGATACGGGTTGGAAGAGCCTCCACCGCTATTGTAGTTGTATGCATAAGGATCATCTCCGCCCGTTGACCAAGGCTCTGAGGCTGAAATGTAGGGCTGAGACGACCCGGAGCGAGACGGGGGATGATGAGTCAAATTCCCGCCCGACGGACCATAAGATGCCTGACTACCGCTTCCCCCACTGCTCAGACCACCAGATGGGCTGTTCCGTCCACTGCCCCCGCCCTGCAATCGAGCCCGAAGTCGATCACGAGATCCCAGGGCGCCAGCGTTGGGAGCGGGGTTCGTTTGGTAGCTTCCAGCCCTCTGGCTTGGGAGCGGGCGAGCGCTGGGGTTGGGTTGTGTCGGAGCCATCATCCCGCCACTGTTGCTCGACTGCGAGCGCGCAGAGTCATTAGAACGCAATGAGTGAGGCGTTGGTCGGCCAGCCCGGAGACTCTGAGCAGGAGGGGCCGCCGGTGCAGGAGCAGGGTCCCAGAGATCAGAAAGTCCACCACCTCGGCCCCCAGATGGACCTCTTGAGTGTGTTTGCTGGGTTCCGTATGGAGAACCGTATGTATTACCATACTGCCCATAAGAACCCTGAGGCTGAGGAGGTGCAGCAACGGGCTTTTTGGGATCAGGAGGCAGCCATTCGGGAAAGGGTCGTCCCTTTTCCGTGTAGTATTCTCGCAGGACATTTGAGATGTGTGAACAATCTTCATGATCAGGATCGTCTTCCTCAGAATCTCTGGTTGTCAAAGCCTTGCGCAGCGTCGCAAACCGTGAGGAGAATGTGCTCGACCATGTCGACGTTGTGCCAGGAGTTCCTGCGCCCTGCGATGGTGGTTGTGGTGTCGACGAATTGGAGGTGAAGTAGGAGAGGTAGGACGCCATGATGGGAGGAGATTGGGATACCGGTTTCGGTTTGACCAGCCAGTGCCAGCTTGTGGTGAGCAGAACTACTCGTTACAGAGTTGGAAGTCGCAGTTTGATACTTTACATGGCGGTGGGCGAAGTGAGGGACCACCAGGCGGCCTCTTCCCCACTTTTGGGTTCTCGGCCGAGAGCCTTACGCTGTCCAGCCTTGTCCACATCAGGGTCTGAGCGAGCCTTGTATATCATATTTTGATGCTCTAGCCTTTGTGATCATATGCATAACGTGAAATGACCTCTGTTTTGTAATTGCGCTATATACCTTGTACCTTGCGATAATTTGGCGGTTTCCACGTCCGTCTAATGATCTTCCCTCCCCAAACCGGCACGAGACTGATCGCTCCCACGGCTGCCACCCTCCACGCCCAACTCCAGCTAGCCACATATGCCAAATCGAAATAGTCCCCCAGGAAGGGCACGCTCGCGCCGTAGAGTACCGCAGTGCCGACAATACAAACAATCATGATAGGGTGCCAGGTCGTAACCGATACAGCAACCATGATAAGCTCATTCAGAACCAGGACGGTGAAGCTGACACTGAGCATGCGAGGCCCGTCAACTTCCCCGACGAGAAGTTGTGACAGACCCTGGATAATAATCCCCTGATAGACCGACACTAACACCCAGGTGAAGAAAGTCTGATAGCTCAGGCTCTTTCCTGACTTGAGTTCTTTGTATAGTTCGGGATAGAGATTGGCGACTTGCTCGTCGACGTCTCGATCGAGCACAAGAGAGAAGACAGGGGCCATGGTGTAAACAGTGGCATACCCAACCATCAACCAATCTTTGAAGAGGCCCTTGGGGTCGAAGTGTCCGGCGATGTTGTACATCGTCTGACATACGCTGATGATCAATCCCCGGTGAATGATAAATTGAGCCAACTTCGCCGACCGTTTGTAGCTGTTGCGGCCGTGCCACACCAGCAACTTGGTCAGATAGCAGAACTGCTCAATGCTGAAATCGGCCGCCAGTGAAGCCTGTCGTCCTTCTTTGCCGACGATCCCAATGCCGACATCGGCAGCTTGGATCATGCTGACGTCGTTGCCACCATCCCCAATGCAGCACACGCGCTTCTTGGTGTGTTTGCGAATCAAGTGCGCAACGTCAGCTTTCTGCGCTGGCGAACAGCGACAGGCAATCACTGCGGGCAACTGGACCGCTATTGTGATGAACTCATGTCGGAATTGGCTGAGCATGAGAGCCAATGACTCGCCGTCGATGAGCAGACATGTGTCAGTCTGGTTGCGCAACACATCCAACGCGTCCTTACCCTGCGCTTTAGCTTTCAACTTGGCCATTGTATGAATATGTTGGCCTCGTGCGACCAACCGAGCAGAAATTGCCACGCACCGCGCTGTCTCGATCTTGTCACCCGTAAGCATCCATATCTTGACGCCAGCGTTGCGAAGCAGTTCGAGAGAGGGCTTGACATCCTTTTGCAAGCGGTCTTCAACTCCCGTCACGCCCAAAAGCTCGAGATCATGCTCGAGGTGCTTCTGGACAACTGCAGCCATTCGTGCGTCTCGATCATGCAATGCCAATGATGCATCCGCATACTCGGAAGCGAAGTTCCTGTATTGCTCTGGCGACAGCTTTTTGCGGCCTACGACAAGTGTCCGAAGCCCTTCACGCGCCATGTTGGCCGTTTCCTCGTCCAGCCAATCATTTGCTGCCACAATGGCACTCATCACCGTATCTGCGCCTTTCTGGAAGAACCACATTTCATCTATATGCGACAGTCCGGGTACCTCTGAAGAGAGGTGTACGATGATACCCATGCGCTTGCTGTCGGAAGTGAAAGGGAAGATGTCTTTGATCTCTGCTCGGATGACCACCTGCTTTGTAGAGACACTTTGGAGAACAATATTCTCCCTGTCGCGCTGAAGGAGACGTAGACCCACGCTTTCAGTGAACTCGACAATGGCAATCTCGTCAGGAGATGATGCCTGATAGGACACTACTCTTTCTCCGTCAACCTCGTCCGCAGTAGGCGTAACATTGTGGCATAACGCAAGGGCGAGTACGAGATCGCGGACACGGACGCCGATCTCTCGTCGGGTCTTCGTCGCTGCACCCAACTCTGAGACATGAACATCTCGGCTCCCATCAGCTGCGAATGCTTGATCAACATATGCTGCGACTTCTTCCATTGCCTCTCCTGCATATGCAACTGTACCAACATGTATCTTCCGAAGTTGCATCTCATTCTGGGTGAGTGTCCCAGTCTTGTCAGAGAGCAGGTACTCTATTCGACCTAGATCTTCAGGGATAGTACTGGTACGGACGACCGTGCCTGGAATCCCTTTGTCCTGGTGAATGAAATAAGCATACACCGATTTGGCCATGTCAAGATTCACGCGCAGACTGATTGGAATGATTGTCGAAAACAGAATCAGATAAATCGTAATTGCCACATACCATGGCTTCTTGTTGGATGGCTCAAACCCTTCGAGGGCGACAAGAATGATGGAAAGGGTTAGGGTCATGATACAGAGGATTTTGGTCAAGTTGTTGATTTCCAGTTCCAAAAGACCAGTTTTTGACCTCGATGGTGACGTCGAGAGAGCAGATCGAGTCTGTTTACCCGTGTAGATGACCACGCCATATGTTATGGTGCTAGAGGCCAACACCGTGTTGGCCCATGCCGTATTGTCAATAGTCAAGGGTGCCGATTGCTGCCTGTTAACCGCGGTGTGTTCCAAGTCGGTTGAGCTTGTGCCGTCTTCTGCACGGTCATCCTTGAGCACATGGGGATCGTAAGCTGGTGCCAGACTTGGTTGAAGCTCCAAAGTCCCTACGAATTCATTGACTTTCTTATCAGGAGCGCCAGCGGTGACCTTGAGTCGTTGCAGATCTTTCAGGTTGAGATTTTGACTCAACGGGCTCGGGAGCCGTAGCTTCCAGTCAGTCTCTCCGTCTAGCTGATCCGTCCTGATGAAGGTTTCCCCTGCAGCCTGAGCTGGAGGAGCAGCTGTAGAATCAGAGCCCGCATCGACCGTCAGCTCCGTTAGATGACTCTGAAGGAGGACCAGATCCGCAGGAACCCTGTGGTTCTTCTCAAGTTTCAGAACGTCACCGACTTTGATATCTCGCGACCGCTTCTGGACTTCCAGCACACCATCCCGGGCCGTATCGGAGAAAGACACCACAGTGAATAGTTCGGCGTTTGCTTCTGCATCTCGTCGCCGCCGCACGATGTCGTCTATTGCTTCTTTGCCAATCGAAATTGTAAGAACCACCGCCAAAGGCACAATGTATGTAGACATGTAACCGATTCGCAAGAAGGGTATAATTTGAGACAAGGCGACAAGGAGGAAGTAGACGTTGAGGAAGAAGGAAAATTCGTTGTACAATGTTCGCGGCAAGAAGGACCAGGCGGTGTATTTGGCATTGGACACGACATTCGTGGGAAATCGTTTCTTCTGAGTTTGCCCGACGTTGACCTCGCGGGATTCCTGCCCGCTGAATTCCTGCTCATTATCACGCATGTCCGCCAGTTCTTGTCTGACAAAGTCTGAGATTTGCATACTCTGGCGAATGCTGGAGCGGCGAGAGGGTACCTCCCGGCCCTGGGCATTGTCTCGTCCACCAACTCTTTGGTATCTTTCCGGCCTGACATTCCAGCCGACTTGGTCTTCCGACCACAGTCTTACATGACCATTGCCTCGTGTGTGTCCAGGCCAGCTGCCCAAAAGACCTTCGGTATCTTCTGTGCCATCGTCTCCTACACTCCGCTTTCCTGAAGATGGCCATAAGCGGCTGCCGCCGTACCTCTGGAGTCTTTGTAGCGCGATGTTTGTGGAACCGTTTACTGAGCGGCGGGCTCTAGTCTCAGACGGAGCGTTGGATCTTGAGCGACGGGGCGAATCAACAATAGGGTCTAGTTCGTCGAGATCGAGGTCATCATCGGAGGCAGAGTCTATGTCTCCGGCCGCGAGCGTGGGATTGGGAGGAGACATGCTCTTCCTCGATCATCCTCAGGTGTATCTCAAGTGACGGGAGGGATTCGGAAGATTGGCTGAGGGATATTCAAGGCGGCCGCAGACCCTGGGTGTGTCGGATAGTACACGTAGGGCCGTTCAGATATTAAGGGAGCAATGTAAGACAATCAGTCACTAAAGGGTGAAGAACGTTGAAGAGGAGAAATAATACGGATGCCTTGTCGGAGGAAGATATGACATGACATTCTGGCCCGAGCAAGTGATGGAAGAGGCGCGCCGAGCCGCGCTCTGGGCCAGGGTTCCAAGGGGCTATGGGTCCCTAAATAGAGCCCGCTGCTTTTAAGCCTCTAGCCTGGTGGGCGAACTGCCTATCCGCATCTCCATTGCGTTTTGGCCAATCATTCTACTGGTCGCCCACTGCATATCCAAGTTCAACATGTGAATTGCGTTCACAAGAGAAATTTGATCCTCTCTCACTGTCGACCTTTACCGTGACAAGATTATAGTTCTGATTTTCAATAACTCCTTGCTTGTCGTAGCTACGTATCAGTGGGTACATTCACTGAAATATACGAATACGATGCCGGAACTGACAATGCGAGTGAAGGGAATGATTGGACTATATGGCGCCTTACTAACCTGAAGACAGACGAAGGAGTCCCTGGTCGGGAGCTAAGCCGGGGCCATGCGTACGGGAGGGCCTGTTGAGTGAGGCAGACAATGACAACGAGTGCCGCAGGCTAGACGGATAGAATAGTGTCATGGATGGGTGGAGGGGTTGGTTTGAAAGAGATAGCACTGACCCCTGGTATAAGCTGAGCTAGTGACGACGTTGGGCATGGGACAATTGATGTAATATCTGAGTGAACAACAAGGCAAAAGGCGTCATAATGAATTCAGGACTCGGTACATTGTGATTGTCTACGTAGATAACTTGGATCGATGATATTGCAGTTCATCCTACGGACGTAAAGCATTTCAATAGTTGTTTCAATTTGATAGGGAAGACCAAGTCACCCGACGAAAGTGTACTACGTATACTCGGTATAGAGAGAGAGAAGCAGAAAGCTATTGAGACGTGAGAAGGGTCATGGAACTATTCCTGGGAACTAACTCTCTTGAGCCAAGGGTACAAGGGTATTGCATCAAGACCGACTGAACTCCCGTAGGGTTAAGGCGGCGCGAGGTCACGTGGGTTGAGAGGTAGACAGGCGTCGCGATTCCGACGATGGAACAAACTGGCCTTCACTTCACAATTTCTCCCGTCGCTCCAGCACCCGTCAAACTCTCCCTAGTTCCTTTCACGGCTCGAAACAGCTATTTCGTCCCGTGTATAGGGTTGCACTTGCGCCATGTATCAAAGGCGTTACTAATTAGTTGTACATGTGTGTCAGGATAACGACCGAACCCCCTGCTCTCTGCTGACTGGGATTAGTATCGTTATTTTTTCGGACTCGCAATGGACGCAGCCATCCACGATGAAGCAGGCTCTCGAGGGTCGAGTCAACCTATGCAATCAGGTCACTGGTTCCCAGCCCTGCGACCAGACACCATCGATGAGGTCCACAGCGAATCGAATGCGTCCAAACCTTCGAGCAGAAACGTCGATGTGAAAACATCTGACAGTATGTCGACGACTGTGATCCCCGCAAGTCCTTCCTCACAACAAGATGGAGACCTCCCTTCTTCGGTGGAAGATAGCAATACACAGCCAAGCGTTGAAGATAAGCCTATAACGGCTGTACAGGGCGCCACACTGCTGAACGGGCAGGGACCGCATGCAACCTGGTCCTCTCAGCCTTCAGGCGGAAGCCTTGGAAGCGATGAACTGCCGTCCGACGATGATGATGAGAGATTGGATCCCCCTCGGGGAATACAACGACTTGACAGCAGCCATATTCTTGACAAAGTTCATCGCTCTACAACATTCCCCGAGTTTGAACTGCCGGAGACTACAAAAGGTCGACCCGATATCGACGTGACGGAGAATGGAATGGACTTTGGGACCATCAATGGCACTACAGAAGCTGTCCAGACGGCACAAAAAGAAAGCGGAGCCACGGAGCCCCAGAGTCTATCTTGGATGAACGATGAGCATGATGGATCGCGCGACCCCCAGTCGTGGACCATCCCATCCAAAGGGGAAACAATCGATGAAGAGGCGCTGCGCTTCGAGGAGGGCATACCGCTTATTCAAGCAGATGGGACGAGCCCTGCTGATGGCGGGGCGCTGGCCGAAGGATCACGACAAAATCCCTTCGAGGAGGCGCAAGATGACGAAGAATCCGCCTTCTTTTCCAACATGAACGGCTCTTCAGCTACTGCTCCGCAAAGCCCTTCTCTTGGCAGAAAGTCCACCGCTCAGGTCCTGAACGCACTGGAAATGCCTGCTGAAGATACAAAAGAGTCTCCGCCAATGCCAGTACCAGCCGAAGCCTCTTTCTTTGACGAGTTAGCCGCCGGGACAACATCTACTCCGGACGATAAGATGCCCGTCATCCCAGAAACCGAAGATGTTGACGCTATGTGGGCAGAAGCACTTGGTGATGAGGAGTTCTTAGTCGAAGATGCGGACGATCTGCTTCCTGAATCTGAGCCTGGATCGCCGTCCTCTTTCATTGCATCTTTACAGGACGCCTCAACAGTGTCCAGTGTACCTGCAACCACGGAGCCAGTGCCCAGTGCAGCACCTCAACAACGCCTCCAAGCTCAAAGGCAGAGCTCGGCCAACCCCTACGCGCCTCATCAACCCTCCACTTCCGACATGCTCCAGATGTCTCCTACAGCCCGCACCACACATAACAATGTAGGATTGTCGCGCCCTGAATTAGCTCCGATGGGTTCTTTCCAAGCCCAGCTCCAGCAGGAACAGCAGTCTCAGAATGTCAAGAGCTTTGTTGATCAGGCAAAAGACGGGTATAAATCTCCGTACGATCTGCCCCTAGAACTCAGCAAATCAAGAAAGAGAGCCCACGTTCCGCAGCCTGTGCAGACAACAAGATCTGTTGCACCTCCACCGAGGAGTAGCAGTCTGTCAGAAAAGCCTCTGCAATCACCTTTTCACCCGAACGGTCCGCCAATGCCAGGGCCTGGTGTTATGCCACCCCCAGCACCGTCACCAGCCATGCCTCCACGAAGCGTGTCTGCATTTACACCTAGCAAGACCGAGCCACCGACGTCTGGTTCCTCTTCAGGCTTCTTTGAAGAATTGCCGTTAGCGACAAGGCCACGACATACTGGCCGCCACACTCCTCAACATAGCATGACCGCCCATCCGCCAATGCCGACACAAAGCCCACCCACTGCTCCTCCACCAGTTCAACAGCAGACTTCTCCCCTTGCACCGTCTGATCCCTATTCACAGTATCAATTGAGACCACCCGAACGATTGGATCCTTACGCAAATGTCCCGCTACAACCTCCTCCTGTGCCAGCTGCTACGACTGCCAGATATTCACCGGCACCTGTCACGTCTACTCTAGGCCCTCGGCCCGGGCCCTCCCCTCGATATTCTACGGCGCCTCCCCCACAAGCTGCAAATACAACTGCGGCGAGGTATGCAGCGCAACCGACGCCACCCCCTGCGTCCTTTCAAAGTACGACAGCATTGCCAAATAAACCCCTAACACAACATCCACATACTGGGCCCGTCATCCTGCCTTTTCAACCTCGGACCTCAAGTCCGCTTGCATACCACAAAAGTTCAGTGGATGAAACTGTCGACCATATAGCAACTTCAGTCATGCAAACTTCACCCCCATCTGCACCTCCAAATCAGTTCTCACCTCCTGTTACCACGGCGCCATACCCAGTGACTTCCCCTGAACGTGGTGGCTTGCCAGACTCCCATCAAGCATCTGCACCCGCACGGCCCAATAGTGAACGACTACCTCCTCCACGACGATCACAAACTCAGTCTCCATCTAAGCAACGCCCGCAAGGAATGTTTCCAAGTTATCCGAGCGACATCATCAACCGTCCAGCTTCTGCGTATGGACAACCACCACTCGGCAGGATTGTTGCGCCACTAGACCAGGTTCAGGCCGTCAAGCCCGGTGTTAGAGCTCGAGGGTTGGCTCCGGAAACAGAATTCGTACGCCCCCAAGATGACACACAATTCGATCCTCTAGAGCGCTGGAAGGGTGCTCCGTTGTTTAGATTTGGCTTTGGTGGCACCGTTGTGAGCACCTTTCCAAAGCTCGTGCCCAGATACGCGACCGGTGCTGTTCGGCCTCAGATGAAGCCTACGGCCGGAGGAGTGTCCATTCAAAACCTCAAAGATGTTCTTCCGTCGGCGGAACTTTGGAATCAATTTCCTGGTCCGCTGCGAACTAAATCGAAGAAGAAAGATGTGTTATCATGGATGGCAAATTACATAAATGCTATGGAGGTGGACACACCAAATGTCGTTCACGTTGCCTCTCATGATGATCCGGTCACACGACATCATGAAAAGATATTACTCTGGAAGATCGTCCGTGCTGTTGTGGAACACGATGGTTCGCTTGATGGCACGGCGCTGCAGGCAATCAACCTCCTACTCTCACCAGAGGTCCATAATGTGGACCTGTCAAGTCCAATCCAATATCGCGAGGGCGAACAGGTCTCTGGCATTTACAGACCTCCAGGTGCAAATGTGCGTCCTGACTCCGTGGACCCGATGGCAGTTGAGAATCTACGAAAGCGACTGCTCAGTGGTGACCGACAGGCGGCTGTGTTTCATGCCATGGACAATCGACTATGGTCCCATGCTCTCATCATAGCCTCGACGATGGACCGTTCAGTTTGGAGCCAAGTGGTCAGAGAGTTCGTACGTCAGGAGGTAAAGACTACCGGCGAGAACACTGAATCACTGTCTGCTCTATACGAAATCTTTGGGGGCAATGCTGAAGAGAGCATAGACGAACTCGTTCCACCGTCTGCTCGTGCTGGGCTCCAAATGGTGAGTAAAGTTGATACGGGTGGTCCGGCCAAGAATGCCCTGGATGGTCTAAATCGATGGAAAGAAACTCTGAGTCTCGTACTGAACAATCGATGTCAAGGGGATCATCAAGCCCTGGCAGTCCTTGGAAGATTACTCGAGGATTACAATCGCATCGAAGCCGCGCATATATGCTATCTCTTCTCCAGGAACACCCAGAGACCACTTCTTTTCGGCGGTCTCGAGGAGGAACATGCTGCTATCGTCCTGCTCGGCTCTAACCACAAAGCTCAGCCATTCGACTTTAATCGCGACCAGGATGCTATCCTGCTCACCGAAATCTACGAGTTTGCGACCAGCATTCTAGCAACAGGGGCATCTCTGTCATTTATGCCACATCTTTCTGTTTTCAAGTTACAGCGAGCAGCAATCATGGCGGAATCAGGATTGAGGTCAGAGGCACAATACTATTGTGACGCCATCGCATCCACATTCAAATCGAGCACGAAGATGTCAGCATACTATCATCCGCTCTTCCTGTCTGAGCTTGAAGATTTGTCGAATCGACTCAAACAGACGCCAATACAAGGATCGTCATCTTGGATTGGGAAACCCAGTTTGGAGAAGGTTGGGGGCTCTATGTGGAACAAGTTCAGCAGTTTTGTTGCAGGGGATGATAGTGACGCCGAATCCAAAGGTTCGGGAAAAGAGGCAATCGATGCTGGACCATTTGCGCACGTTGCTGGCACCCCTTCGATCAGCAGAACTGCATCTCAGTCGGAACTGTATGGATCTTACCCACAATCGGTTCCTACAGTTCCAACAACAGTTGCTGGATCCAGATATGCGCCGACCGGCATGCAATCCGCTCGATCCTCTGCAGAAATTACGCGTGGACGTCCATCTCTAGACTCTCAAAGGTCACCTCCATCGACGTCCCATTCCCAGCACAATCACCAATTCGAGCCAATGAACATGTTCCAGCATGACCAAGCACCGCCTGCTGCGAATCCTTATCAAGCGTTTGCCACAGCATCACCCCCGACTTCTTTCCCGCAGAGCCCTCCAAGATCTTCGTACATGCCGAATCATAGTGCCCAATCAGCACCTGCGACCATAGCTCCCATGCGTCCCAATAGTTATGCGCCAACTCCGCCTGCTGAAGATGTCATCCAACAATCATATGGATACACTCCTGAGCCGGCTGTCACATCACAGATCCCCGAAGAACCGGCGGCTTACCTTGGCTACGAACCTCCACAAGCTGGACAACCTGAAGTAACCCAAAGAAATGATGATTTGGCCATGGGGGTCGAAGCATCGACACAATCTTTTGGCTACGAGCCACCTACCGGCGGGGGCTATGTTCCCTACGTTCCGGAGCCCGACTCACCAGAGGAACCACCCAACGAGGTCAAATCGAAGAAGAAATCGTTCATGGACGATGACGATGACGACTTCCCTCGGGTATCGCAACGGCAGGATTTCGAACCGGGATCATCAGTAGAGGATGAGACAGCGCGCAAACGTGCAAATGATGCAGCAGCAGAAGCCGCCTTCCGTGCCGCTGCGGAAGCAGACGCTGCTCGAGAAAAAGAAAAGAAAGAATCGAAAAGATCCTCGTCGTGGTTTGGTGGCTGGCTGGGAGGAAAGAAGACCGAAGGCTTGGATGCTGGTCCACCCAAGGGCGCCGACCAAAAGGTCTACAGAGCCAATCTAGGTGAATCGAAGATGAAGCTGTATTACGACAAGGAACTTGGGAAATGGGTGAATCCTGACAATCCGGATGCAGCGAAGAAGACAGGAACCCCTCCCCCACCCAGAATGGGTGGTACTCCTGCCCCTCCTATGAGCGCCCCAGGGCCTCCGAGACCACCTATGTCTTCTACACCTCCTACCTCGCATCCGAATATTCCAGGTCTCGGTATAGGACCGCCCTCGGCACCAGGAAGTCGCGCTGGTACTCCTGCCGAAGGAGCTGGAGGATTGGCCAGACCCTTGTCACAGGTTGGAGTTTCTGGTCCTCCCAGTGCCGCCAGCACCCCTCCTATCGGCCACCCTACAACTCCCGGCCTTGCTCCTCCACCACGGCCTGCCACTGCAATGAGCAGTGCTAGCAGCATTGACGACCTGATCGGTCCAGCTACAGGACGAAAGTCTGCCAAGGCTGGTAAGAAGGGACCCAAGTCGGGAAGATATGTGGACGTCATGGCGCAATAGATTTCTGCAGGAGGGACATCATTCAAAGATTCCAGGCTCAATTTACTCTGCACCATCAGAAAGCGATATGCTATCACTGATTGTACAATAATTATGTGGGGTGTTGATGTGTACATGTGCGTTTGAGAATGGAGGCGGATGTGGTTATGACTGCATCCCCATCGCTGGCGATGTGGAATCAGAGACTCGGCGATGGTACCGGGGATATACTACTTGTAAATTAATATTGTGGCTTGGGTCAGACATATAGGTCTGCGATGGAGTGTGATTCGTTTCCGGATATAACACGAGTGTCTGAGATGTGCCGATAATGGTTGGACATACGAAGTACCGGGTGGACCTGATTGTGTGGCTCCTATATCTCAGCCTTGCAACCTGGACATCACGTGATATCGTCAAATCAATGGACACGGACAATCTGATGTTCCTGGCGAACTTTGGACCTGTTTGTTCATTCACCTTCCCACAGGCACGATGCAAGGCTTGACGACGAAAAACACCCATACTGCCTTCTCGGTAATCTGTATGTCCTGTTAATACTCGCCAGTAGACCCGACGCCCCCGAGCTATGAGAGCCCATCGAACCACACATTCCCCCGACCTCCATATTGCGCCGATAATACCAACAAGCCCTCCTCCGCGGGATTGAATACTTGGGGGAAAGGAAAAAAAAAACCAAGTGACGCACCCTTGAGCTTACAGAGAGCGATGGCGGCACCTCCTCCCGGCGATGCGCCCTTCGACGCTGACTCGCGGCTCGTCAACATGTCCTGCTTCGACCTCCTGCTGATCGAACTGGTCCCGCTGGCCGAGCGCATGGCGCGGGCCTACGAGGCGTCTCTCGACCGTCCCACACCCTCCCCCGCGAGCTCAACGACCACGAAACGGACGTCAAAGGGCCCGCCGGCGGCCCCGGGCAATACCATCAGCGGTGGCACGACGACGACAACGTCCAACACGGTTTCGTCGACCTCGACGCCCAGTATCACGGTCACGGGCGCCAACGCGGTCCCTGCGTCCTCGCAGCCCTCAAACACCGCGCTGCTCGCCGCGGACGGCCTCCCCGCGACCACCATCTTCGCCGATTCCATCTACGTGCGCCTCGAGCGCCTGGGCTTCCGTGTCGGGGAGGGTCTCAGTGAACGCATCTCGCGCGACCGGCCGCGCTTCAACCAGGCCGGGCTGAACGGGGCTAACGTGGGAAACGTCAACGACCACCACCTCGACGTGATCAAGTTCCTCTGCAAGGACATCTGGGGCGTGGTGTGGAGGAAGCAGGTCGACAACTTGAAGACGAATCATCGGGTACGTTTGGCCCTTCTCCCCCCCTTTTCCATTATCAAGAGAGTCTAGGCGACCGGCAGCACAATCTACGAGGTTCTGGGTCGTCCGTCGTTGAGCTGTCGATATAGCCAACGCCACCAAGATTTGGGTCCAAAAAAGTCCACATGGAAACTGCGTACGCTGACAATGTTCACACAGGGTGTCTTTGTCCTTACAGACAACAAATTCCGTCCTCTTACACGCATGTCCATGGCGAACCACGCCGAAGCCTTGCAACGAGCCAAAACCCACCTCTTTTTCCCCTGCGGCATTATCCGTGGTGTCCTGAGTAGTTTGGGGATCAAAGCCACCGTCCAGGCTGAGACGATAGAATTGCCTGGTGCAGTGTTCCAGATTACGACGGTGCAGCCTCAAATAAGGCCATGAGCGGAAAAAGAGCATGGTATACGTCGACAAGAATTGACAAGGGATTCTCAGCCTGCGTAGGACATGAGCAGCCCTGCAAAGAGTCGCCCAATATTGGTGCCAGAAATGACAGACGGATTCACAATCTGCAAACACAAGAGAAGTGGCTGTACAAAGCGTGAAGAGTAGGACAAATGATTTTTGTCTACGCGATCTCCACGCTGCAAAAGGAAACATACACAGCCTAAAAAGCTATGCTATGGCGATGATGACCGTCTTTGCATTGACGAAGGGAGGTCTTTATTTCATGTCATGCCATGCTTTTCACAACCTGCTCCAATAGCTCCATGTCAGTCTCCGTGGCCGGTTCACTTTTTGCGCTTGCAACAATGTCCAGCAACCGAACGAGTGCACAAGTGCACAATTGCGTGGCAGGCAGGCTCGTTCTGGGGGATTAGAAGTCGCTCACATCCTACCTGCAAAACCGGTCAGGAAATGTTACAAAAAAACACAAGGACGAGGCCTACTTGGGTGGGTTCTTCACGAAACTGATACCCGTCTCGATGTTGGTCTTGAGCCCCTTGATCGCCTCTTCAAGGTGCTTCTTCTCATAGTCGTTGGCGCTTCCCAGGATGTCGATGGCTTTCTCTGCACCGTGGGGCTATTACAAGCGTTAGCACAGAGCGAGGAGAAGAGGAATTGCAATTGCTGGGAAAAGAGACTTACCCCGAGTTCTACAGGAACGGAGAAAAATTCACAGCCAGTTGCCTTGGCAATAGCATCACCACCAGGGACACCGGGGAGATAGACGAATGTTGGCTCAATGATACCCTTTTCACCCTTGGATGCCTTGATAAGGGCCTCGGCGAATCTGAAACCGGCGTATGCCATGGAGAGTGTTGCGGAACCAGCACCATCCTTGGCCTTGACAACCTCGTCACCACCGAATTGGACACGGTGCACCAAAGCATCCAGCTTGTCTGATGGGATGTTGACGGGAGGCTTGGCTTGGCTGAACAGCGGCACAATGGTGTTGCCAGAGTGACCTCCAACGACAGGGATGGTCAACTTTCTTGGGTCTTTCTCGCCAATGATCTCTCCCACAAAGGTCTGAGCACGGACGACATCGAGGGTCGTAACACCGAACAGTTTCCGGGGATCAAAGACACCAGCTGCCTTGAGAACCTCAGCGGCGATGGGGACGGTGGAGTTGACAGGGTTTGAGATGACACAGATGTATGCCTTGGGGCAGTATTTGGCGCACGCTTCAATAAGGCCTTTGACAATTCCTGCGTTGATCTTGAACAAGTCGTCTCGAGTCATGCCAGGCTTGCCTGAGAACCACTGTCAGCCCCAGCAAATATTCAAGGTCAACAGAGTACATACGAGGGACACCGGCGGGTATGATGACAATATCTGCACCAGTCAAAGCCGTCTTTTTTGCTTCTTCTGTCTCTGGTTTCTCTCCCTTGAAGTCACCTGGGGCCGCAACATAGCCTCCAATGGTCTGTGTATGTTAGACTCGTGGTGTTGTGAGTATGGGTCAGGAGGATTTCAGCAGACGTACAGCGACAGAGGAAATGTGTGACAGATCGGCTGCGACACCGGGGGTGTTGACGACATCGAAGAGTGCGAGTTCGTCAATGACCGGAGAAATCTTGCAGAGAAGAGACAATGGCTGCCAACAAATTAGACTCGACTCAATTTACTGTAGCCAAATGAAGAGAAATACATACCTGACCAATGCCGCCAGAGGCACCGAGAACGACAGCTTTGACCATGTTGAGAGTTTGGTGGGGGAAAGGATTGAACTGTGACGACAGTTTAGGATTCCACCTTGTTCTTCAGACTGATGCTTCGTACTCACCTGAAGAGACTTTGACAATTAATGAGAGGGATAGGTTCGAGGTACTTGGGGGTTTCTCAGAACTGGTGCTTGCAAAGAAGACTGAGAGGGTTTTTAAGAAATAGTTGGGGCGGTCAGACTTTCGTTTGAGGAAGCCGGGCAAGAAGGGCAGTGACGCGGGACAGAATAGCGAGGGGAAGCCTCTTGCGACCTCGCCAAGACCAGATATTGGTTTCAAGCGGCGACAAAAGACTGGCTTGCAGTTGCCCCGCGTCAATCCGCAGCTCCGACATTTCGCGTCCTTTGGGGGACGTTGGGCCCTTTTTTCGCCATCCTGGACGGTGGTTTTGACCAAACTACTAGACAGGCAAGGCTGCTTTCCGTACTCTACGAAAATTGCTCGGATCAGGCTGCGACCGTCTTGTTCTGGCTTGGGCCAGGGCACAAGTCATTCATTGGGTGCTACGGAGGTACCACTGTGCTGCAATAATGCCCTTGTCATCAATGATGTTAATCCCTTGAACCCCCTCGGATGCAGATGTAATCCCAGTTCCAGCTTGTCATTTGTTTGGAGGAATAACCCCGTTCTGCATTACCAGAACACACAAAGATCTCCCCCACCGATTCTCAAATGACACACCCCCGAAGAAATGTCTCGGATGGTGATCATCGATCCAGGTCCATCGGATCCGGCCCTCAACACACGGGGGATGGCACAAGCCTGTGCTTCCAGTATCGAAACGCTCAGCAAAAATTTTGTCAACCACCTTCTGCAAAAACGCTTTATGCGTCGGTCTTTCTCGCTTTGACCCCACGGGGCTTCTTCTCCGGAGTGTCCTTCTTCGGTCGCTGCGAGTTTTTGATGGCACTGGCACGGGAAACAGCGTCTCTGTTCAAGTCGCCACGGTATGATCGCTTGCCGACTGCATCTGCCACGCTCTTGTAGATCCTGTAGGGTAGGTTAGCTACCATGCTTGCTTTGTGGCCATGCCATTTGCGCCCGCCCAAGACTCACTTTCTGTTCGAGGTGGTCTTGCCAAAGGCATGGGTGTTGTAGAGTGATGCAGGCTTGTTGGACGATCCGGACTTCTTGGTCACCAACGTGACACCTCCCTTCTCATTGGGTTGGATCGAAACGGCCTTGTCGTTCACGAAGCCGGCGTGTTTTCTCGAGTGCTTGTTGACGACGTTGAAGGGGTCTCGGGAGAACTGAACACCACCACCAGACTTCCTCTTGACCAGGAACGCATTGTTGTTTCCTGCGGGTTTTGTTCGTATTAGTATAACCCTGGGACTAGAGAATTGATCTCGCTGGTGTAGACTTACGGACAACCTCCCAGATGAGGTCGCCGGAGACGTTTGGACGTTCAGACATTGTTGACGGCGGTAAAACTGGTAATGGATTGTCGAGCTTTCGCAAACAGCATGGACGGGGGCTCGAACTTTTTGGGTTGATTTGTATCTAATGGCAATGGCCTTTCTGTGCGCAGAAACATCATTGGCTGTTGGTATTCTCCGGCTTGGCACCCAGTGATACGGCGGAGCGTTCGGCTGCGATGCGACTTCCGAGCTCGTCCGACCCCTGCCGCGGCAGGCTGACGACAACGAGGCCCAAGACCCAAGACCCAAGCCCCATCACCAAATGCCTCCTCGTCTTGATTGTCACAACTGTCCAGGTTCGGACGGCTCTTGACGCAAGGAGCGACTTCGCGCAAAGCCTCATGATGGGCACCAGGCTGTGATCATTGCAACCCGAAGCCTCGCACTCGTCTTGTGATCCCAAGTCAAACCGTACAGAAACCCCGCGCGACATCAGGCGATATCTGAAAAGAGAGGAGTGGCGCGATCATGGCCTACATCCTGTACTCGATTCTCTTCTTCTCCATCGCTCTCTCAACAAGTACGTTGGCCTACTCCACGTCGCGAAGCCTACAAGTCTGATGGAATCTTTACTAATCCTATGCCGCTCCAGTTCTATACTTCACGCGCAATCGCTGGACACCGTACCTGCCGATCCCTGTGCAAGACCTGCTCTCCCGACTAAACCCCTACACGTACAGCCGGGTCCCGACCACGTTCATGGGCGATGTCGAATCCGGGTTCACCTCCGCGGACTTCGACCTCAGCTCCAACATCATGGAAGGCGACAGCCGGGGCGGACTGGACCAGAGGGCGAAGCGAGAGATCCAGAGGCTGATGAAGATCCGGGGCATCAACTTCGACGAAGCCAGGAGGGTGTACATGGAACAGCGGTTCAAGAAAAACGGCATCGGAGAGGACGGCATCCCGAAAGATCCAAAGTTCGTGTCCTTCTCATAGTGCCGTGGGGGAAGGCTGTGCGTTGTGCTTGGGTCCTGGTTGGCGTTCGAATAGGAAGGTTGTAATGAGTACGAGTGAGGCACGCGCTGAATTTGTGAAGGAAGTACCTCTGGACAATCAAGTTTTTTCATTCAAATCGTGCATGGGGCTCTTGCTTTCAGATGCATATGACCCATGCTCCATATCCGAGATCACCTTCCAGTGTGAGCCCTTTTACATGGTACACGTACTGTCTTCCCTCCTTGTGTCTCTTGCTATCGGAACAGAACCATGAGATGCAGCACTAATTGAATCGGCATTGGTATGACTCGAAAGCGGTCTCGTGGCCGCAATCTGCAAATCCCTTCCCCCGTGATAGAATCTCTAGACTGGGCGAACTACGACTTTAGTCCCCTATCCCTGACCAGAGACACTCGCAAGTACGAGGTAGTGGATAGGTAGATTATAATCTATTCTGCGCTGTGCTAGTCTTTACAGACTTATGTCTGTATACTTGTATATGTATAAAATAATGCGAGAAGCACCCACATTGCTCAACCTCTAGACCATTGTCATGTTAACATCACTTTCGCTCACGAGCGGCCTCTTTTCATATAGCGAGACACTCTTCCAAAAGTGCATCCATCTACGGTATGGGTCCAGGTGTTTTGTATTTTCTCATAGTTCAGCGTCCCCACAGGGGTAAAGTCTATGTATTATAATACAGAGCGAGGAGAGTTTGTCCATTGATGACTAATATTAACTGCCGTTTGCTTGCTTTTGCGGACGCCCATCTAGGTCAATATAGGATGCAATATTTGAATTGAATCCATGGCCCATAACATCCGCCACCGCACGGTATCCAGAGGTAAACTGTTAGCTGAGCTGCACGCCAAATCCCTCAAACCAGTCCGTCTGGCCGGACAACGCATTGACGCTCACTGAATCTTTTTAACATCATCGGCCAAATAACTCCGGTCATCGCTCCCCTCAACTTCTTTTACGATATTTTCCATCTCTCGACTCTGCTTTTCCCACTGCTGCTTCCCCATCTTGGTCTCCTGTCTAAACAACTCTTCATCTGGCTTCCGATAGCTACCCCCCAGTCGATCCCACAGCGTGGTAAACTGCCCGAAATTGACCTTGAACGTAAGATGATGCATGGTATGGCACGCAGCGCCGTTGATCAAGGGAGAATTGGAGTAGTATTCGCCGTCATGGATGAAGATGGTCCAAATGTTGATGAAGACGAAGAGGGCGATGTAGGCGAATTTTTGCAACGGGAACAGAAAAGGGTAAACGTGGTACGGGATGGATTGGGCGAAGCCATCGAGAGGATGGAAAGCGTGCGAAGCGTAAGGCGTTGGGACAATCCATTTGTGGTGCGGCTTGTGGAGAGTTTTGTAGACCAGCGGATGGTGCAGCCCTCGATGAATCCAGTAGATGCCGAAATCGGTGAAGAGGACGAAGAAGGGAAACTGGAGGACGTTGTACCATCCAAAAGGAGCATCGCTAGGAAGATCGTAGAGTTTAGAGTAGCCTCGCACTTCAGCAAGCATGCAGGCTGCGGTTAACAGGGACATGAGCGGCATGGCGCGATTGGCTTGGGCGATCTCCATGCGGACCTGATTCTTCAAGTATTTGGGATGTTTAAAGGTCGCTTTGTCAAAGACAAAGAAGTACGAAAGCGAGGCGCAGAGAAAGTAGAGGACGAGCCCAAAAAACCTAGAACAGTAGGTGTTAGTAGAAAGACATGTGTCGCCTGTAATGCTGCCATCCTGGACTCACCAAACTATGAAGAACAGGCTAATCCCTTGTCTGAAGATGTTGTCGCGAGGCCATGAGCTTCTGTATGTCCACTCCGTCGGGTCCAAACTGACAAAGCGCGAAGCGGGTTCATAGATGTATGTATATTGAGGTGCAGCGGTCGCGCTTTCCCGCAAACTCGAGAACGTAGAAGTTGTGGCATTGTTGAACTTCTGTTGAAGGTAAGACGATGGACTGGCAGGTAATAGTGTGGCATAGACACGATCGAGGAGGAGAGTGTCAACGATTTCCAGAACGATGTCCATGGTGAGGGGTGCGAGACAAAGCCCGTCGCGTCGGCTATTCAACACCAGGTCTGGTCTGCAACTCGGCCGAGGAGTTGGTGCCGTTTACCAACGAGGCGGATGACGAGTTTGAAGGGAATGTGTTGAGGCTCGGATGGTATCTAGGTTCGAGGAGAAAGTATCTAGGTCGTCAAGAGTTCGCTACATAAGGGATACAAGGAGTGGCGTGAAATGGCATCTCAACGATCCGAAGGGCCGACAACGGCAAGGTTGAAATTATTTGTTTGAAAAGGTGGAGAGCGATTTGGCTCAGAATGGCCTGACAATTGGTTCGGGGATTGGCGGTGACAAAGTCAGACCCTTTTTTCTCGTGTAGCTTGCGCAGCTGTGGAGGTGATAAACGCTGGCATTGGAGCATTCAAGCATCAAGTGGAGGAGAAACTGAACAACATCCGAGAAGTGGTCTGCTTCACCGTAATGTCAGCTTAGTCACGTGATATGTGACTGCACATGGACATCGGCTAACATTCCTACTTGCGACATCTCCCCATTCTCCATCAGTCACGTCCCTGCGTCATCTACGCAGTAAATTTGTGATACAGTTATGAACACATACAGATATTTCGAGGTAGAAAGGCAGGCAGCCAACGTACAACCTATTGCTACAAACAAAGCTATGCAGGCGTAGCTCCTCGTCCGTCGGATGCGTCAACTCCTCTTCCGTGAACAACATGTTCGAGCTTGGTGCAACCACCCACAGTCCCCTCCCGAGTCCTTACTCCTCCGAACCCTGAAGTGATCCCTCGAATCCTTGGCTCATGACGTCCCAGCAGAGCCATGGTCTCTCGCCAGCTTCGATTGAGACCATTGCAGGCTTGTCTGCCGGCCTGATATCCACCGTGATCGTTCACCCTCTAGATATCATCAAAACCAGACTGCAAGGTGGGTTTAGAAGCCCCAGAACGCGAAGAGACCAATCTGAACATCTTTTTCACTAGTTGATACCTCTGCCCACCCTCTCCTCAATTCCTCTCGAGCCGTTCTACGAGACCTGTTGCGGAATGAAGGTCCCAGTCGGCTCGCAGCACTCTACCGGGGACTCAGTCCCAATCTTGTGGGCAATTCAGCTGGCTGGGGATTGTACTTTTTGTGGTATCGCGAGGCTCAAGACGTCATTCGAAACCTCCGAGGCTATTCTCGTGGTCAACAACTCACAGCTGTCGATTACCTAGCGGCCTCGTCTGCGTCTGGTATTCTGGCTGCGATACTGACGAATCCAATTTGGGTGGTCAAGACGCGGATGCTTTCCACCTCCGCCTCTCAGGTGGGTGCATACCCGGGCCTGGTGTACGGACTGCGAGCAATATACAAAACAGAAGGAGTCCGAGGGTTCTTTCATGGTCTGACACCCACGCTGGTTGGGGTCAGCCACAGTTCACTGTATTTCGTGGCATATGAGAAGCTTAAGGCGTGGCGTAGGGCGTCCAAGAGAGACGAGCCACTTTCGAACCGGGACACCATCATGGCCTCCTCGTTCTCGAAAATCTTTGCTGGGACTGTGACATATCCCCATCAATTGGTGCGGGCTCGGCTGCAGACCTACGACCCGAATGCAACCGCACTTGTGAAGAGACCGGGTGTCATTGCCTTGATCAAACAAATCTGGCGGAACGAAGGTCTCGTTGGCTATTACAAAGGCCTCTTCCCCAACCTCTTGCGTGTTGTCCCTAGCACATGTGTCACCTTCCTCGTATATGAGAATGCTCGGTGGGCTTTGCCGAGAATATTTGGAGAGGTGGAAGAGCAACCTCCTGCAAATATGGCTACGGGAGTGGCGCAGAAAGGGCAAAGACCCTTGTAAGGGAGAAATAAGCGGTCAGATCATTTGAAAGTGGACTTCGACTTATCTCATGGGACACCAGGCTTTCCTGCATAAAATTGGCTCCGACAGCATCCCACGCTCTTCGTGCGGGTTTGTTTTAGCGGCGGTCATGGGCTTGGGGAAATAGGAGGCAGCGGTTTTCTATATTGCTCTCATGGCAAAAATCTCTCCACGGCAGTCTTGTAACTCCGTTACTGTCTCGAGGCAACGGTTGAGTCCGTCGCAAGGTCTGTATGGGTCGAACCATCCTCAATCGAGCAGTGGGAGTTGGGGCCAGCGCCCTCTGGAGCGGGATGGAATCCACTATCGCCAGTGTCAGCGTCGATCGTCGGGTTTCCCTGGAAATCGCCAAGTCAGAAGGAACCTCAAAAGGGGCGAACACGAAACGCAACATTGATCAAGGCCACCAATCATGAGAATTGTCAGCAGGTCAGCGAGGCAAGATTTCCAACTTTCCACTCTTGGATGGACGGTCTCCCCACTGGATTTGCAAGACTAAGTGTACTGTGCATTGCCCCAGCCTAGTACCTTGCATTGCATTGGAGCAGACAACCTGGTCCATACGCTTACCCTTTCCAGTTCAACGTCCATTCCCCGAGACGAGAAAGGAGATGTGCTGGAGACAAGGACAAGATTGCCGAACGTAACCTTGGGCGGAACGGGGCAAGTGTGTGGCGGGCTCGGTCTGCAGCGGTCCGGCGTCGATTGCGGAAATGCGGGTGGGAGACGAATCCCATGCGTGTTCCTGCGTCAATTCATCACGTCACAAATTCTGTGAGTGTGTCAAGGTTAGCAGGAGTCAAGAAAAAGAAACCTCCAGCCCTTCAGCCTTTGGTGGCCATGATGAAGTCGACGTCTTGTGTGGAAAAGTTGGAAAGCTTACTCGTCGTTGGATCCTGCAGCTACCAGTCACTACACGGAACTCGGCCTGTGAAGGGCGGCAGCGGGCCAATACATGACCCAAAGAGGGAGGGAGGTTTTGTAGCGTGGACTCGACGTGGGTGTCTATTGACCTGGCGCTCTCTCGTGACAGTCCAGCTGAACGCCTGCTTCGATGCAGCATTGCGATTGGCTGATTGACCCTGGTCGGTGGCGGTCGGACTTGACTTTGCTAGCGCCAATGGCACCTTCTACCGACCTTCCAGAAACTATTTCTAGCGTGCTCCTAGTGCGGTTCTAGCGGCTGTCTCCGTTTCCAGCGCTAGTCCCAAATGGCTCATGGCTGAGATGGCTGGGAGAAAAGCGGGACGTTGGTGGAGCCTCGTAACTCTGAGCAAACCGCCCGAACCGACAAAGAATCCGTAACGAACTGGTACCATCCCACGTCTAGGATGTCATTCTCCACTCCGATCGAACGAGGAGGTGGAGGGGAGTGTCTTCCCGTTCTTACCTTTCGGGATCCCGTGATGGGGAATGGTACTCGTGCTAGGGAATACCACCTGCGCGGTTTCTCGAATCTATTTTGCGACGGAGTTCTTATGTTCGTTCCTCGTTCCTCGTTCCCTTACCAATCACAGTTTCAGTTGGGTCCATGCCGCTCGTCATCGCCTGATCTCTCAGGCCATAGACGCCTCTCTGGCATGCCAGTGACGTGCAATCTTTTGGGGGGGGGGGGGGGGGGGGGTTTGCAATCGGTCAGCCTCATCACGTCTCATGTCTCATGCTTCGTACCTCGTGGTCTTTAGCTTTCTTGTGTGCCGCTTCGTTGCCACCTCCTTGATGGCCAGAATTATGCAATCTGTCGTTTCATCCGTTTTAGAGTGCTAGACCCCCGCTAGCGCTAGTTTTGACGCAGTATTAGGTGGGTGTTGTTCCATGGTCTCTTCTCTGGGCATTTGGGGAAGATGACCCAGGGGAGCGCATGGCGGTCATATCCCGTCCCCGGGGACATCAGAATGCACAATGCTCTTTTGAAGGGGAAGACTAGGCCGAAGAAGAGGGGGAGGCATTTCGTGAGAACTCGCGCTAAACCACCAAGCCAGGGACACCACCGCAAGGTTACATACATGCGTACATGCATGACGGAGACCCAGGTACGTGCCGTAACGGGATCTAGCGTGGACTGCGCAACTCTGTCGGTCTTGGGGGATTCCACCTGCCTGGCGTTGAAGGGTTGATGCCACCACTCCTCTCTGTCTCTCTCTGACATGCAGAAGTAGTCTGTCTATGATCAGCACCTCATTTACAGAGTCCGTCTTCCGCTTCCCGAAAAGGAGCCACGCAGTCCAAGCTCGTACGAGGAGCAATATTGAAGTAAACCGGTCAAAATCGAGTATTACTGCTGCTGACGCTGCCGTCGCTTTGAAGTCGACCTAATCCTCGCCCTTTGTACGTCGTCATCGTCTCCCAGCGACCGATGGATGCAGGCTTCAAATGAAGTGATTCATTTCCATCAGTAATCAGGAACCGATCGTCAGCGCTACTCCGTGACCCCAAACGGCGTGTGGTATAGGTATATTCCGACCTAGCTCGGTTGCCTTGGTCCGCTTCACCGCCGAGATAGCAGCCTTGCCCGGTTTCTCTCACGGCGAGGTCCTTGTTGGGGTGTTTGGTCCAGTTTACAATCTTGCCGCGGAATCAGGATGCTGAGGAAAGAGAGAATGACCAAAGAGATAAGAGCCCGGGAGGGAGATGAGAGGAGAGGAGAGGAGAGGAGAGGAGAGGAGAGGAGAGGAGAGGAGAGGAGAGGAGAG